CTTTGTTCATCATCAGGAGCTACTGCATCATGTAGTAAGGTAGTCATCACCTCTCTTCATCATCAGTAGCTACTGCATCATGAAGTTAGATAGACATCACCTATATTCATCATCAGGAGCTACTGCATCATGTAGTTAGATAGTCATCACCTCTAGGTCATCATCAGGAGCTACTGCATCATGTAGTCAGATAGACATCACCTATATACATCATCAGGAGCTACTGCATCATGTAGTTAGATAGACATCACCTATATTCATCATCAGGAGCTACTGCATCATGTAGTTAGATAGTCATCACATCTGGTCATCATCAGGAGCTACTGCATCATGTAGTTAGATAGTCATCACCTCTGTTCATCATCAGGAGCTACTGCATCATGTAGTTAGATAGTCATCACCTCTATTCATCATCAGGAGCTACTGCATCATGTAGTTAGATAGTCATCACCTCTGATCATCATCAGGAGCTACTGCATCATGTAGTCAGATAGTCATCACCTCTGTTCATCATCAGTAGCTACTGCATCATGTAGTTAGATAGACATCACCTATATTCATCGTCAGGAGCTACTGCATCATGTAGTTAGATAGTCATCACCTCTGTTCATCATCAGTAGCTCCTGCATCATGTAGTTAGATAGTCATCACCTTTGTTCATCATCAGGAGCTACTGCATCATGTAGTAAGGTAGTCATCACCTCTGTTCATCATCAGTAGCTACTGCATCATGAAGTTAGATAGACATCACCTATATTCATCATCAGGAGCTACTGCATCATGTAGTTAGATAGTCATCACCTCTAGGTCATCATCAGGAGCTACTGCATCATGTAGTTAGATAGACATCACCTATATTCATCATCAGGAGCTACTGCATCATGTAGTTAGATAGTCATCACCTCTGGTCATCATCAGGAGCTACTGCATCATGTAGTTAGATAGTCATCACCTCTGTTCATCATCAGGAGCTACTGCATCATGTAGTTAGATCGTCATCACCTTTGTTCACCATCAGTAGCTACTGCATCATGTAGTCAGATAGACATCATTTCCATTCATCATCAGAAGCTACTGCATCAAGTAGTTAGATAGTCATCACCTCTCTCCATCATCAGTAGCTACTGCATCCTGTTGTCAGATAGACAGCACCTATATTCTTCATCAGGAGCTACTGCATCATCTAGTTAGATAGTCATCACCTCTTTTCATCATCAGGAGCTACTGCATCATGTAGTTAGATAGTCATCACCTCTGTTCATCATCAGTAGCTACTGCATCATGTTGTCAGATAGACATCACCTATATTCATCATCAGGAGCTACTGCATCATGTAGTTAGATAGTCATCACCTCTATTCATCATCAGGAGCTACTGCATCATGTAGTTAGATAGTCATCACCTCTGATCATCATCAGGAGCTACTGCATCATGTAGTCAGATAGTCATCACCTCTGTTCATCATCAGTAGCTACTGCATCATGTAGTTAGATAGACATCACCTATATTCATCGTCAGGAGCTACTGCATCATGTAGTTAGATCGTCATCACCTTTGTTCACCATCAGTAGCTACTGCATCATGTAGTCAGATAGACATCATTTCCATTCATCATCAGAAGCTACTGCATCAAGTAGTTAGATAGTCATCACCTCTCTCCATCATCAGTAGCTACTGCATCCTGTTGTCAGATAGACAGCACCTATATTCTTCATCAGGAGCTACTGCATCATCTAGTTAGATAGTCATCACCTCTATTCATCATCAGGAGCTACTGCATCATGTAGTTAGATAGTCATCACCTCTGTTCATCATCAGTAGCTACTGCATCATGTTGTCAGATAGACATCACCTATATTCATCATCAGGAGCTACTGCATCATGTAGTTAGATAGTCATCACCTCTATTCATCATCAGGAGCTACTGCATCATGTAGTTAGATAGTCATCACCTCTTATCATCATCAGGAGCTACTGCATCATGTAGTCAGATAGTCATCACCTCTGTTCATCATCAGTAGCTACTGCATCATGTAGTTAGATAGACATCACCTATATTCATCGTCAGGAGCTACTGCATCATGTAGTTAGATAGTCATCACCTCTGTTCATCATCAGTAGCTCCTGCATCATGTAGTTAGATAGTCATCACCTTTGTTCATCATCAGGAGCTACTGCATCATGTAGTAAGGTAGTCATCACCTCTGTTCATCATCAGTAGCTACTGCATCATGAAGTTAGATAGTCATCACCTATATTCATCATCAGGAGCTACTGCATCATGTAGTTAGATAGTCATCACCTCTAGGTCATCATCAGGAGCTACTGCATCATGTAGTTAGATAGACATCACCTATATTCATCATCAGGAGCTACTGCATCATGTAGTTAGATAGTCATCACCTCTGGTCATCATCAGGAGCTACTGCATCATGTAGTTAGATAGTCATCACCTCTGTTCATCATCAGGAGCTACTGCACCATGTAGTTAGATAGTCATTATCTCTGTTCATCATCAGGAGCTACTGCATCATGTAGTCAGATAGACATCATTTCCATTCATCATCAGAAGCTACTGCATCATGTAGTTAGATAGTCATCACCTCTCTCCATCATCAGGAGCTACTGCATCATGTAGTCAGATAGATATCATTTCCATTCATCATCAGAAGTTACTGCATCATATAGATAGATAGTCATCACTTCTCTCCATCATCAGGAGCTACTGCATCATGCAGTCAGATAGTCATCACCTCTGTTCATCATCAGTAGCTCCTGCATCATGTAGTTAGATAGACATCACCTATATTCATCATCAGGAGCTACTGTATAATGTAGTTAGATAGTCATCACCTCTCTTCATCATCAGGAGCTACTGCATCTTGTAGTCAGATAGTCATCACCTCTGTTCATCATCAGTAGCTACTGCATCATGTTGTCAGATAGACATCACCTATATTCATCATCAGGAGGTACTGCATCATATAGTTAGATAGTCATCGCCTCTATTCATCATCAGGAGCTACTGCATCATGTAGTTAGATAGTCATCACCTCTGTTCATCATCAGGAGCTCCTGCATTATGTAGTTAGATAGTCATCACCTCTGTTCATAATCAGGAGCTACTGCATCATGTAGTCAGATAGTCATCACCTCTGTTCATCATCAGTAGCTACTGCATCATGTAGTTAGATAGTCATCACCTCTCTCCATTATCAGGAGCTACTGCATCATGTAGTCAGATAGACATCATTTCCATTCATCATCAGGAGCTACTGCATCATGTAGATAGATAGGCATCACCTCTATTCATCATCAGGAGCTACTGAATCATGTAGTCAGATAATCAACACCTCTGTTCATCATCAGGAGCTACTGCATCTTGTAGTCAGATAGTCATCACCTCTGTTCATCATCAGTAGCTACTGCATCATGTAGTTAGATAGTCATCACCTCTCTCCATTATCAGGAGCTACTGCATCATGTAGTCAGATAGACATCATTTCCATTCATCATCAGGAGCTACTGCATCATGTAGATAGATAGGCATCACCTCTGTTCATCATCAGGAGCTACTGAATCATGTAGTCAGATAATCAACACCTCTGTTCATCGTCAGGAGCTACTGCATCATGTAGTTAGATAGTCATCACCTCTGTTCAACATCAGGAGCTACTGCATCATGTTGTCAGATATACATCACCTATATTGATCATCAGGAGCTACTGCATCATGTAGTTATATTATCATCACCTCTTTTCATCATCAGGAGCTACTGCATCATGTAGTTAGATAGTCATCACCTCTGTTCATCATCAGGAGCTCCTGCATCATGTAGTTAGATAGTCATCACCTCTGTTCATCATCAGGAGCTCCTGCATCATGTAGTTAGATAGTCATCACCTCTGTTCATAATCAGGAGCTACTGCATCATGTAGTCAGATAGTCATCACCTCTGTTCATCATCAGTAGCTACTGCATCATGTAGTTAGATAGTCATCACCTCTCTCCATTATCAGGAGCTACTGCATCATGTAGTCAGATAGACATCATTTCCATTCATCATCAGGAGCTATTGCATCATGTAGATAGATAGGCATCACCTCTATTCATCATCAGGAGCTACTGAATCATGTAGTCAGATAATCAACACCTCTGTTCATCGTCAGGAGCTACTGCATCATGAAGTTAGATAGTCATCACCTCTGTTCAACATCAGGAGCTACTGCATCATGTTGTCAGATATACATCACCTATATTGATCATCAGGAGCTACTGCATCATGTAGTTATATTATCATCACCTCTTTTCATCATCAGGAGCTACTGCATCATGTAGTTAGATAGTCATCACCTCTGTTCATCATCAGGAGCTACTGCATCATGTAGTCAGATGGACATCATTTCCATTCATCATCAGAAGGTACTGCATCAAGTAGTTAGATAGTCATCACCTCTCTCCATCATCAGTAGCTACTGCATCATGTTGTCAGATAGACATCACCTATATTCTTCATCAGGAGCTACTGCATCATGTAGTTAGATAGTCATCACCTCTGTTCATCATCAGTAGCTACTGCATCATGTTGTCAGATAGACATCACCTATATTCATCATCAGGAGCTACTGCAACATGTAGTTACATAGATATCACCTATATTCATCATCAGGAGCTACTGCATCATGTAGTTAGATAGTCATCACCTATATTCATCAGCAGGAGCTACTGCATCATGTAGTTAGATAGGCATCACCTCTCTCCATTATCAGAAGCCACTGCATCATGTAGTCAGATAGTCATCACCTCTATTCATCATCAGGAGCTACGATGAAAAGTACAGGTGCAAGCTTATGCATGTACACTCAACCTCTCAGGGTGCTCGCAGTCAACGTTTTTTTCATGGGAATACATTTGGTTGTTGAGAAGTTAATGAATTGACACCAGTGACGTCATGCAAAAGGTTTTTTTCAATACTGAATGCACCTGATTGTTTCCCCTAGCAGATGTTCCTAGATACAGGAGGTCCAGCCCGGAGGGCGTGTCAGTAGCTGTAGAGAAGGCTACCCTCGTCAACCTGATGGACGGTGAGTGGAAACATTGCATCTTTCAGGCATATGAGAAGCTACACTTTCCATGATAACCTGTACAAGTCAAACTATACATCAGTCAATATAAGAATCAAGGTAATGCTTCTGTTACACTGTTTTGACAGGCTCCTCTGACGAGGTCAAGTGGACATACTCTATTTACAAGACACTATCAGATATCATGAACCTGGACGACCACTCAGATAGCATCAGGTAGTAGCATCTATCTATCTTACAAAGTGCACGAAACGATATTAAATATGTTAAAGACACTGATTTATTATATACCTAGATGTGAAAGACCGAGATTCCTAAAGTTTAGAAAAGTAATATTTCAACAGCTGTGACAGAATAGTAAAAAATGTCGCCTTTTGTACATCAAGAGATGAGACGATACATCACATTTACCAGACTCACGAAATGTCCTCTATATATACCGTATCGTAATGGATCTATAATGTCATTTATAGCAATGTGTATATCCACTAGGTCTGTGTCCTTCAATGAGCGGGAGCGAGTGAAGGTCGTGTCGGACATTGTCTCCTTGATGGTGGAGTCGACAGAGGGAGCTGAATTGAACCCACCTATTAGAGCCCGGATGATGATGAGGACGGAAGAGGATGAGGTAAGTAGATCACACTCGATTGTACCAAATATTTATAGATCAAATTTCCTCCCGGTGTGCTATTTTAATATGCCTCCTGATACTTTCAGCAACATTGGCGAGCTATATGTATTAGGGCATTCTCCAGTTCTAATTTATCTCTGCGGAAATCACAAACAAATCTACCCCGTGCTGTTAAAAGTTCGTTGTAGCTTATCTAGCTTTTTTGTCCAGAGGATGAACTGTGCGGGGTATCTACGAGGATTCCTTTGATGTAATATTTCTCATTCAAGTTTGTGTTTCTATATTTGTTTCAGACACCCCTCAATAATGCGGTGCACAAAGTGTGTGGCAGGTTCATTCCTATGGATGGGTAATTATAACATTTTATAGCTGTTTCGTGTCCAAAATGGTGGACTGCAGCATTCGTTCTATGTATAAAACGTTCATTTTACAGAAATGTCGACCTGTTGCCATGTTTTCATAGTGCACACCAAACAAAATCTTCGATTTCTATGATGCAGTTAATCTGGTATGAGCTGCGTGTGACCCTCCATTACACTATACCTTGTTTGTATCTAGAAGCAACACGAGTCGCTGGGTGTCTGACGGTTGCCAGCTGGTGGTGGACAGCAGTTGGGTTGTGTGTGAGTGTAACCGGCTCGGTCACATCGCAGTCCTCACAGTGGTACGTGCCTCAGGCCAGGGACTTATTTCTCTGTAATCAGCTTGCGGACCGCAGTCTCCTTAATAATCCTATAAACACCACAGTGAATGGATTAAATGAACGTTACGTTGTGTGAGTAAAGAGGGAGATCAAATAATGTGTATAGCTTCACAGTACTGGGTGACATCTTTACTTTTCCAGGAACAAATGTCTCCGAGAGCACAGCCGCTGTTCCTGACTGTGCTGAAAGCCGTGTGTTCAGTACCTCTGCTGGGGGCTCTGGTCATCGTCATTGTCGGGATCAAACGGAGAGCGTTAGTAAAGTCATCTTACCCATTTCCAGAAAAACTGACTGGCACATTCCTCTTGTAGGCTACTTCACTTTTAAGTATATCTAATGGCAAACATCCGTCTAGGACGCTACTTCATGTATTCGCAGTGCCGTACCTACCTCTAGGAAACTACCTCAAGAAGATGTAGTGACACATATTCATCTAGGAAGCTACTTCACGTCTATATAGTGACACACAAGTGTATAGGAAACTACCTCAAGAAGATGCAGTGACACATATTCATCTAGTAAGCTACTTCACGTCTATGTAGTGAAACACACGTATATAGGAAACTACCTCACGAAGATGCAGTGACACATATTCATCTAGGAAGCTACTTCACGTCTATTAGTGACACACACGTATATAGAAAACTACCTCACGAAGATGCAGTGACACATATTCATCTAGGAAGCTACTTCACGTCTATGTAGTGACACACAAGTATATAGGAAACTACCTCACGAAGATGCAGTGACACGTATTCATCTAGGAAGCTACTTCACGTCTATGTAGTGACACACACGTATATAGGAAACTACCTGACGAAGATGCAGTTACACATATTCATCTAGGAAGCTACTTCACGTCTATGTAGTGACACACAAGTATATAGGAAACTACCTCACGAAGATGCAGTGACACATATTCATCTAGGAAGCTACTTCACGTCTATGTAGTGACACACAAGTATATGGGAAACTACCTTAAGAAGATGCAGTGACACATATTCATCTAGTAAGCTACTTCACGTCTATGTAGTGACATACAAGTATATAGGAAACTACCTCACGAAGATGCAGTGACACATCTTCATCTAGGAAGCTACTTCACGTCTATGTAGTGACACACACGTATATAGAAAAATACCTCACGAAGATGCAGTGACACATATTCATCTAGGAAGCTACTTCACGTCTATGTAGTGACACACACGTATATAGGAAACTACTTCACGAAGATACAGTGACACATATTCATCTGAGGGGTATTTCACGTCTATGTAGTGACACACACGGATATAGGAAATAACCTGACGAAAATGCAGTGACACATATTCATCTAGGAAGCTACTTCACGTCTATGTAGTGACATACAAGTATATAGGAAACTACCTGACGAAGATGCAGTGACACATCTTCATCTAGGAAGCTACTTCACGTCTATGTAGTGACACACACATATATAGGAAACTACCTGACGAAGATGCAGTGACACATATTCATCTAGGAAGCTACTTCACGTCTATGTAGTAACACACACGTATATAGGAAATTACCTCACGAAGATGCAGTGACACATATTCATCTAAGAAGCTACTTCACGTCTATGTAGTATAACACACGTATATAGGAAACTACCTCACGAAGATGCAGTGACACATATATATCTAGGAAGCTACTTCACGTCTATGTAGTGACACACACGTATATAGGAAATTACCTCAAGAAGATGCAGTGACACATATTCATCTAAGAAGCTACTTCACGTCTATGTAGTATAACACACGTATATAGGAAACTACCTTACGAAGATGCAGTGACACATATTCATTTAGGAAGCTACTTCACGTCTATGTAGTAACACACATGTATATAGGAAACTACCTCACGAAGATGCAGTGACACATATTCATCTAGGAAGCTACTTCACGTCTATGTATGACACACACATATATAGGAAACTACTTCACGAAGATGCAGTGACACATATTCATCTAGGAAGCTACTTCACGTCTATGTAGTGACACACACATATATAGGAAACTACCTCACGAAGATGCAGTGACACATATTCATCTTGGAAGCTACTTCACGTCTATGTAGTAACAAACACGTATATAGGAAACTACCTGACGAAGATGCAGTGGCACATATTCATCTAGGAAGCTACTTCACGTCTATGTAGTGACACACACGTATATTGGAAATTACGTCAAGAAGATGCAGTGACACATATTCATCTAGGAAGCTACTTCACGTCTATGTAGTAACACACAAGTATATAGGAAACTACCTCACAAACATTCAGTGACACATATTCATCTTGGAAGCTACTTCACGTCTATGTAGTGACACACACGTATATAGGAAACTACCTGACGAAGATGCAGGGACACATATTCATCTAGGAAGCTACTTCACGTCTATGTAGTGACACACACGTATATAGGAAACTACTTCACGAAGATGCAGTGACACATAAGCATCTAGGAAGCTACTTCACGTCTATGTAGTAACACACAAGTATATAGGCAACTGCCTCATGAAGATGCAGTGACACATCTTCATCTAGGAAGCTACTTCACGTCTATGTAGTGACACACACGTATATAGGAAACTACTTCACGAAGATGCAGTGACACATATTCATCTAGGAAGCTACTTCACGTCTATGTATGACACACACGTATATAGGAAACTACTTCACGAAGATGCAGTGACACATATTCATCTAGGAAGCTACTTCACGTCTATTTAGTGACACACACATATATAGGAAACTACCTCAAGAAGATGCAGTGACACATATTCATCTAGGAAGCTACTTCACGTCTATGTAGTAACACACACGTATATAGGAAACTACCTGACGAAGATGCAGTGGCACATATTCATCTAGGAAGCTACTTCACGTCTATGTAGTGACACACACGTATATTGGAAATTACGTCAAGAAGATGCAGTGACACATATTCATCTAGGAAGCTACTTCACGTCTATGTAGTAACACACAAGTATATAGGAAACTACCTCACAAACATTCAGTGACACATATTCATCTTGGAAGCTACTTCACGTCTATGTAGTGACACACACGTATATAGGAAACTACCTCACGAAGATGCAGTGACACATATTCATCTAGGAAGCTACTTCACGTCTATGTAGTGGCACACACGTATATAGGAAACTACTTCACGAAGATGCAGTGACACATAAGCATCTAGGGAGCTACTTCACGTCTATGTAGTGACACACACGTATATAGGAAATAACCTGACGGAAATGCAGTGACACATCTTCATCTAGGAAGCTACTTCACGTCTATGTAGTGAAACACAAGTATATAGGAAACTACCCCACGAAGATGCAGTGACACATCTTCATCTAGGAAGCTACTTCACGTCTATGTAGTGACACACAAGTATATAGGAAACTACCTTAAGAAGATGCAGTGACACATATTCATCTTGGAAGCTACTTCACGTCTATGTAGTGACACACAAGTATATAGGAAACTACCTGACGAAGATGCAGTGACACATATTCATCTAGGAAGCTACTTCACGTCTATGTAGTGACACACACGTATATAGGAAACTACCTCACGAAGGTGCAGTGACACATATTCATCTAGGAAGCTACTTCACGTCTATGTAGTGACACACAAGTAAATAGGAAACTACCTCACAAACATGCAGTGACACATATTCATTTAGGAAGCTACTTCACGACTATGTAGTGACACACACGTATGTAGGAAACTACCTCACGAAGATGCAGTGACACATCTTCATCTAGGAAGCTATTTCACGTCTATGTAGTGACACACAAGTATGTAGGAAACTACCTCACGAAGATGCCGTGAGACATATTAATCTAGGAAGCTACTTCACGTCTATGTAGTGACACACACGTATATAGGAAACTACTTCACGAAGATGCAGTGACACATATTCATCTAGGAAGCTACTTCACGTCTATGTAGTGACACAAAAGTATATAGGAAACTACCTGACGAAGATGCAGTGACACATATTCATCTAGGAAGCTACTTCACGTCTACGTAGTGACACACACGTATATAGGAAACTACCTCACGAAGATGCAGTGACACATATTCATCTAGGAAGCTACTTCACGTCTACGTAGTGACACACACGTATATAGGAAACTACCTCACGAAGATGCAGTGACAAATATTCATCTAGGAAGCTACTTCACGTCTATGAAGTGACACACAAGTATATAGGAAATAACCTGACGGAAATGCAGTGACACATATTCATCTAGGAAGCTACTTCACGTCTATGTAGTGAACACAAGTATATAGGAAACTACCTGAGGAAGATGCAGTGACACATATTCATCTAGGAAGCTACTTCACGTCTATGTAGTGACACACAAGTATATAGGAAACTACCTCACGAAGATGCAGTGACACATATTCATCTAGGAAGCTACTTCACGTCTATGAAGTGACACACAAGTATATAGGAAACTACCTGACGAAGATGCAGTGACACATCTTCATCTAGGAAGCTACTTCACGTCTATATAGTGACACACAAGTATATAGGAAACTACCTCACGAAGATGCAGTGACACATATTCATCTAGGAAGCTACTTCACGTCTATGTAGTGACACACACGTATATAGGAAACTACTTCACGAAGATGCAGTGACACATATTCATCTAGGAAGCTACTTCACGTCTATGTAGTGACACACAAGTATATAGGAAACTACCTCACGAAGATGCAGTTACACATATTCATCTAGGAAGCTCCTTCACGTCTATGTAGTGACACACACGTATATAGGAAACTACCTTACGAAGATGCATTTCTCGCTACTCTAAAATATTCAAAGTTCTGTCTTGATGATGGTTTTCTAAATACATTTAAATGTCTGTATTTTTCACTTTGGGCTTCTTAACATTCAATGTCAAACCATACAGGCTGCTTCTGAATATAATTTCAGGAAAGAACCTTCATATGCAAGCCACAGTATCTAAAAATGTTTACTAAACAATCAATAGCATCATCAATATTATTATGTGAAGCGCCCATAAAATTACCAAGCATGATTTTTTTATGTTCATCATAACAAAACACTCATATTGAATTGTCACTCTTATCTTGATGCCATTTATATTTAACTCTATCATTATACTGTGATAACTCAACTATAGATTTAACACTACACTCGGAAGGTTAAAGAGTAGCTATAAGCGGTAGATGATCAGACGATGAGAAATTATACTGAAGTTGGTAATGCAGTTAAAGGAAAGCGAAGTGACACACATATAATCAGGTGTACTGTGGCCTTGGTGTCCAATATAAGTAAAATCTCCCGAACCATATAGTGACATATATACCTCTAGGAAATATCTTCCCATATATGAAATGGTGCAAATTACTTTGAGAGTCTGCTTCATGTATATGTAGTGACACATACACCTGGAGGACGCTACTTCACGAAGATGTCATGACACGGATTACTCTAGGTTGCCTCTTCACGGAGTTGCAGCAACATTTATGCTTCTGTGAAAGCAACTCCGCTTAGATGTAGGTTCACACATTCCTCTGGGGTGCTACTTCACGAAGATGTAGTTCAACGTAAAGATCGTTGACGCTACGAAGATATAGTGACACATATACATCTAGGAAGCTACTTCACTTTGATGGTATAGCACATATGCCTCTAGGACGCTACTTCATGAAGATATAATGACACAAATACGAAGCTACGTCCATGTAAAGACACTCGTACATCTAGGACGCTACTTCACGAAGATGTAGTGATATAGATCTTTCTGCTATCGTAAGTTTCCACAATAGTTGCTCCGTTATGTTGCTTAGTATGTACGAATATGTTAAACATACATGCCTGAAGTAAACATGGCGTTGGTTTACTGAATACACGTACTGCAAAATATTGCGCATGGAGCATACTGGTGGGTCATGTGTTGCAGGATGACGGGCTGCACTACCTTGTCTCTCAACGTATGCGGAGCCATCGCTGGTGCTTACGTGGTGTTTGCTGTAGCCATTGACATCACAAAGGATGAGGTATGTTCGTCAGGCCACAGGTAGCAAGACACTTCTCACACCATGTTTATATGTATATAATCATGTCGAACTGGGGATTCGAACCCAATTTGGACCCACGTGTTCCCGCATTGGCTTCCAAAACCAAAGTTGCATTCACATCAGTTGTATGGCACTCGTAGGGGGTGTGTAAAACTATATGTATTTTACCTTTTGCAGGGTTTCTGCATCGGCATCGCCGTTGCACTGCACTACCTCTTTACGGTGATGACTCTAGGGATGTTAGCTCAGACGGTCTATCAAGGTGTCATCTTTTACCGCCATCTCACCCTTCCTGTGGTACATACACCGAAGTGGCCCTACGTATGCCTCGTCCTGGCTGTGTGGGGTAAGTCACAACAGTATCCACGAGTCCCCTCCAGCCAGCTCCCAGCAATCCCCACCGACAAGCTCCCACTAGCCCCAACCAGCTCCCATCAGCCCCAACAAGTTCCCATCAATCCCCACTAGCCCCAACTTGCTCCCACCAGCCTCAAGTTGCTCCAGAACCAGCCCCAAGTTGCTCCAGAACCAGCCCCAAGTTGCTCCAAACCAGTCCCATCTAGGTCCTACCAGGCTCAACAAGCTCCCACCAATCCCAACCAGCCCCAACTTGCTCCCACCATCCCCAGCTAGGTCCCACAAGTCCCCACCAACCCCAACTAGTTGTTCCAGACATGTTTTACATGAGAAGTTGATATTGTTTATCGTAATTGTAATGTCAACATGTATCTTCCTAGTGGTTGGCGCCGGGATAGTGGCAGCAACAACACTGGTGGCTGGTCTTGATAGCTACAGCACAACACAGCTGTGAGTACATACTGTAACAGCACAACACAGCTCAGCTGTGAGGACATACCCATGATAGTTGCTAACGTACTGTTCCCAAAATATCATGAACATGTATTAATGAATCATTATCAAAATTATTTTCCCTAAAATGTTCCGTGTGGTGTACAAAATTGAAAAATAATTTAACTTCGTTCTTTTCTGAGATTGCATGGATGAAAGCAAATTGTTCGCTTTTTGTAGCTTCAACGTGGTGTTACTTCTACTTATTGCGTAAACTTGCTTTGAACATAAAACAAATCATATAAATGTTAGTAATTGCCTACTTTGACATAACGACATCCATGTAATTACATCAACGTTAGTTCCTGGCCTACTGTAAAGGAACAACGCAGGTCAAAGTACATACACGTTAGTTACTGACCTATTGTAAAGGAACAACGCAGGTCAAAGTACAAACACGTTAGTTACTGACTTACTGTAAAGGAACAACGCAGGTCAAAGTACATACAAGTTAGTTACTGACCTACTGTAAAGGAACAACGCAGGTCAAAGTACAAACACGTTAGTTACTGACCTACTGTAAAGGAACAACGCAGGTCAAAGTACATACACGTTAGTTACTGACCTATTGTAAAGGAACAACGCAGGACAAAGTACATACACGTTAACTACAGACCTGCTGTAAAGGAACAACGCAGGTCAAAGTACATACACGTTAGTTACTGACCTACTGTACAGGAACAACGCAGGTCAAAGTACATACACGTTAGTTACTGACCTACTGTAAAGGAACAACGCAGGTCAAAATACATACACGTTAGTTACTGGCCTACTGTAAAGGAACAACAGATGTTAAAGTACATACACGTTATTTACTGACCTACTGTAAAGGAACAACGCAGAGGTAAGTACATACACGTTAGTTACTGACCCACTGTAAAGGAACAACGCAGGTCAAAGTACATATACGTTAGTTACCGACCGCCTGCAAAGGAATATCGCAGGTCAAAGTACATACACGTTTGTTACTAACCTACTGTAAAGGAACAACGCAGGTCAAAGTACATACACGTTAGTTACTGACCCACTGTAAAGGAATATCGCAGGTCAAAGTACATACACGTTAGTAACTGACCTACTGTAAAGGAACAACGAAGGTCAAAGTACATACACGTTAGTTACTGACCTACTGTAAAGGAACAACGCAGAGGTAAATACATACACGTTAGTTACTAACCTACTGTAAAGGAACAATGCTGAGGTAAGAACATACACAATAGTTAAGGACCTACTGTAAAGGAACAACGCAGAGGTAAGTACATATACGTTAGTTACTGACCTACTGTAAAGGAACAATGCAGAGGTAAGTACATACACGCTAGTTACTGACCTACTGTAAAGGAACAATGCAGAGGTAAGTACATACACGTTAGTTACTGACCTACTGTAAAGGAACAACACAGCTATAAGTACATACACGTAAGTTACTGGCCTACTGTAAAGGAATATCGCAGCTATAAGTACATACACGTTAGTTACTGACCTACTGTGGAGGAACAATTCAAAGGTAAGTAAATACACGTTAGTTACTGGCCTACTGTAAAGGAACAATGCAGAGGTAAGTACATACACGTTAGTTACTGACCTACTGTAAAGGAACAACGCAGAGGAAAGTACATACACGTTAGTTACTGACCTGCTGTAAAGGAACAACGCAGAGGTAAATACATACACGTTAGTTACTGACCTACTGTAAAGGAACAATGCAGAGGTAAGTACATACACGTTAATTACTGACCTACTGTAAAAGAACAATACAGAGATAAGTACATACACGTTAGTTACTGACCTACTGTAAAGGAACAATGCAGAGGTAAGTACATACACGTTTGTTACTGACCTACTGTAAAGGAACAACGCAAAGGTAAGTACATACACGTTTGTTACTGACCTACTGTAAAGGAACAACGCAGAGGTAAATACATACACGTTTGTTACTGACCTACTGTAAAGGAACAACGCAAAGGTAAGTACATACACGTTTGTTACTGACCTACTGTAAAGGAACAACGCAGAGGTAAATACATACACGTTAGTTACTGACCTACTGTAAAGGAACAACGCAGAGGTAAGTAAATACACGTTAGTTAATGACCTACTGTAAAGGAACAATGCAGAGGTAAGTACATACACGTAAGTTACTGACCTACTGTAAAGGAACAATGCAGAGGTAAGTACATACACGTTAGTTACTGACCTACTGTAAAGGAACAACGCAGAGGTAAGTAAAAACACGTTAGTTACTGACCTACTGTAAAGGAACAATGCAGAGGTAAGTACATATACGTTAGTTACTGACCTACTGTAAAAGAACAATGCAGAGGTAAGTACATACACGTAAGTTACTGACCTACTGTAAAAGAACAACGCAGAGGTAAGTACATACACGTTAGTTACTGACCTACTGTAAAGGAACAACGCAGAGGTAAGTAAAAACACGTTAGTTACTGACCTACTGTAAAGGAACAATGCAGAGGTAAGTACATATACGTTAGTTACTGACCTACTGTAAAAGAACAATACAGAGATAAGTACATACACGTAAGTTACTGACCTACTGTAAAAGAACAATGCAGAGGTAAGTACATACACGTTAGTTACTGACCTACTGTAAAGGAACAACGCAGAGGTAAGTACAAACACGTTAGTTACTGACCTACTGTAAAGGAACAACGCAGAGGTAAGTACAAACACGTTAGTTACTGACCTACTGTAAAGGAACAATGCAGAGGTAAGTACATACATGTAATTACTGACCCACTGTAAAGGAACAACGCAGGTCAAAGTATATACACGTTAGTTTTTAACCTACTGTAAAGGAACAACACAGTTATAAGTACATACACGTTAGTTACTGAGCTACTGTAAAGGAACAACGCAGAGGTAAGTACATATACGTTAGTTACTGACCCACTGTAAAGGAACAATGCAGAGGTAAGTACATACACGTTAGTTACTGACCTACTGTAAAAGAACAACGCAGCTATAAGTACATACACGTTATTTACTGACCTACTGTAAAGGAACAACGCAGCTATAAGTACATACACGTTAGTTACTGACCTACTGTAAAGGAACAACGCAGCTATAAGTACATACACGTTAGTTACTGACCTACTGTAAAGGAACAACGCAGCTATAAGTACATACACGTTAGTTACTGACCTACTGTAAAGGAACAACGCAGCTATAAGTACATACACGTTAGTTACTGAGCTACTGTAAAGGAACAACGCAGCTATAAGTACATACACGTTAGTTACTGGCCTACTGTAAAGGAACAATGCAGAGGTAAGTACATACACGTTAGTTACTGACCTATTGTAAAGGACAAAGCAGAGGTAAGTACATACACGTTAGTTACTGAGCTATTGTAAAGGAACAACGCAGCTATAAGTACATACACGTTAGTTACTGACCTGCTGTGAAGGAACAATGCAAAGGTAAGTAAATACACGTTAGTTACTGGCCTACTGTAAAGGAACAATGCAGAGGTAAGTACATACACGTTAGTTACTGAGCTACTGTAAAGGAACAACGCAGAGGTAAGTACATACACGTTAGTTACTGACCTACTGTAAAAGAACAATGCAGAGATAAGTACATACACGTTAGTTACTGACCTGCTGTAAAGGAACAATGCAGAGGTAAGTATATACACGTTAGTTAATGACCTACTGTAAAGGAACAACGCAGAGGTAAATACATACACGTTAGTTACTAACCTACTGTAAAGAAACAATGCTGAGGTAAGAACATACACAATAGTTACGGACCTACTGTAAAGGAACAACGCAGAGGTAAGTACATATACGTTAGTTACTGACCTACTGTAAAGGAACAATGCAGAGGTAAGTACATACACGTTAGTTACTGACCTACTGTAAAGGAACAATGCAGAGGTAAGTACATACACGTTAGTTACTGACCTACTGTAAAGGAACAACACAGCTATAAGTACATACACGTAAGTTACTGGCCTACTGTAAAGGAATATCGCAGCTATAAGTACATACACGTTAGTTACTGACCTACTGTGGAGGAACAATGCAGAGGTAAGTACATACACAATAGTTAAGGACCTACTGTGGAGGAACAATGCAAAGGTAAGTAAATACGCGTTAGTTACTGGCCTACTGTAAAGGAACAATGCAGAGGTAAGTACATACACGTTAGTTACTGACCTACTGTAAAGGAACAACGCAGAGGTAAGTACATACACGTTAGTTACTGACCTACTGTAAAAGAACAATACAGAGATAAGTACATACACGTTAATTACTGACCTACTGTAAAGGAACAACGCAGAGGTAAATACATACACGTTAGTTACTGACCTACTGTAAAGGAACAACGCAGAGGTAAGTACATACACGTTAATTACTGACCTACTGTAAAAGAACAATACAGAGATAAGTACATACACGTTAGTTACTGACCTACTGTAAAGGAACAATGCAGAGGTAAGTACATACACGTTAGTTACTGAGCTACTGTAAAGGAACAACGCAGAGGTAAGTACATATACGTTAGTTACTGACCCACTGTAAAGGAACAATGCAGAGGTAAGTACATACACGTTAGTTACTGACCTACTGTAAAAGAACAACGCAGCTATAAGTACATACACGTTATTTACTGACCTACTGTAAAGGAACAACGCAGCTATAAGTACATACACGTTAGTTACTGACCTACTGTAAAGGAACAACGCAGCTATAAGTACATACACGTTAGTTACTGACCTACTGTAAAGGAACAACGCAGCTATAAGTACATACACGTTAGTTACTGACCTACTGTAAAGGAACAACGCAGCTATAAGTACATACACGTTAGTTACTGACCTACTGTAAAGGAACAAGAGGCGCGTACATTCATTACATCCTTCACTGTTCCATTGTTAGGGTTGTCTTGTGTGTTTGCAGAGTTGAAAATGTGTTCAGTCCGGACAGATATAGTTAAAGTTGACGCCTGAAACACAGCGTGCGTTATTTGTAGGACTGTTGCATCACACTTGCCTCAACTGTCCTTCCCGTATTCCAGATGCTGGGTCAACACGAAAAGAGACGCAGCCTTATCGTTACTGGGCACTACCGCGACGGCACTACTGGTAAGGTGGTCGTAAATGGGTCCTGGCACTCTTTACATATATACTCGATATGCCCGTCATCTTAACGATGTCCCGCGCACGGCAAGATTAAGAAAGGTCTGTCCCATTTCAATCCAAATTCCTCTCTCAACATCCGACCTCTGCCTCCGCCGTGAATCTCCGCCTTGTAACTTGAGTAGTATAGGTAATGGGGGTTCTGCCGCAACTCCACTGGAGCAGGATTCATATACCTATACTGCTACTACAGGAGGAATTTTTTATGCCAAAATGATGATGCGATTTAATGATAGTCATGAGATTAAGTTAAATTGGCTCTAGGTGGAGTCAATGATATAAATTTTTATAGGTAATGATGGTTCTGGACCACTACCAATACCTGGGGCCAATCATTGCTTTAGATGAGTCTAAATGGTAATAAAAATATTCTTTATTATTTTTATCGATAAAGCGATATTCAACATTTTTATTAAGTTCTTCGTTCATTTTACTAGGAGACCAGACTATATAACTACACTCTTTTTGTAAATTGATAAGAAACAATTGATAACCGTATTTGGTTGGTTTGGCATCACTGATATAATAAAAACCTTGTGGTAATTCTTTCCATTGAATAGCTTTCTCCATTATTATATATTTATGTTAGCATTTGTCTAAATGTAATCACACGATAGTAAACAATCTATTTTTAATCTCCAACCAGTTCTTTGGTTTTGGCACGGAATAATTGACGCGCTTGTTGCCTCCCCTCTTCTATGAACTTTTTTTTCTCGTCTTCGCTAATACCACTGGTCTTACGAGATTTTGATCGAATCTCCTGCTTCATTTTATTGTATTTGTTGAGCTCCGACAGCACTAAACGAAACTCATCCTCGGATATCTTACAATCGGCCATTGCTGTCGAAATATGATCCTCAATGCTGTTCAACTTTGCTTCGGCGAGTATCCGAATACTATCGTGTTTTAATGCTTTCTTTTGTAACCTACGAGAAATGAATTTTATCGCTATTCCTGCCAGTCCTGAGACTCCAGCGGTTATTTCCATGCCGAGCACGATAGGCGCGGCGATTATAGTTGATAGTAAACCGATACCCGCTACACCGAGTCCCATGCCAGATACTACAAGAGCGGTGTCAACTCCGTCAAGAGCATTCACGGCTCTGCGATACTTTTTATACAATCCAAGTCTCAACTCCCTATCCTTCTCTATTCGACGTTTTATGTCGCTTATTTGATGTAATCGAAATCCATCAACAGTTTCCATCTTTTCAAATGCTTCACCGAGCGCCGGATATAAACTCATAGTGTATATTACGATCATATAATAGTCTTTAATTGGTCTTGCTTAAATGTTTTGAGACTATACATCAATCTTATCAAATGTATATTATACGGCAAGAATATCTTAGAAAGAGAAATGCTGTCACTTTTAATAATTTGGACCCCCTCGAGGGTTGCAACGGGCGATGCTCCGATATGAATAATACTGCAACGTTGACGCTCGTGATTCTTGAACCATTTAATCGATAGACCTGGTAATATTTCAAAGGCATCTTCCGGTGCATCTCCGAACAAGACTTCAATAATAAGCGTAGAAAGATTAGGTATTGCACTCAAGTTATCTTTAATATCTTCGAATTCAGTAACCAAATTTAAACTAATGTTTTTTAAGGCCGGACGACTATATATCATATGACCTGGATCATCTGGCAGGGGAGTGACCAACACACTTTTTCGTTTTGACGGGATATAAGCCGCGAGTACGATGCCACTATTTATTATCTTAATTAAATTATGTCCCTTACCCATCATCACATAAGGTGGGATAATGACGATATTCAGTAGCCACTCGATGTTTGCTTCAACCATAGTCCATTTATTATCGTCGTTGCGAGTAATATTGTACGAAGTGTTTTTAAGGAGTCTACTAACATCGACATCGCTTAAATCTCCTAGATTACCCGTGAATGTGACTTCTTTCCGCTTGTATACATTATCGTGTAAGTGTAAAGCGTATAACTTACCATTGTAACCGGGTTTATCAAATCCTTCTGTGTCTCCGAGATCGGAAAGCGCAATTGTATTACATTGTCTTACTGTTCCAGGGCCTGATGCATCAACCATTATTTTTAATATGGAGTGTTACACTTAAGTATCCTATATGTACAGGTTGATGTTTTACATCTAATACAGAAATTTTGAGGTCTGAAATAATACCACGCTTCAATTTTTTATATTGTAATAACGAGAATGATTCCGTTCTACCGCTATTATATTTTTCATTTTTCACTGGAACACTTCTGAGTAGAGTTGAAGGACTTTCTAGTTGAATATTATCCGTCGTGCTTATTTGATCAAGATGGATGAACAACTCTTTATAGGGAACTAAATCGGGCAATGTATTTCCATGTTGTGTTTCGTTAGAACTTATAATTTTAAGCTCAAATCCAAGTGTAATTCCTAAGTATGGGATAAGAATTACACCATTTTCTCCAGTGTCGATTTTCAGCATCCCATTCGATTCATTTTGTGAGAGACTAATTCCATTAGGCTTAAAAATTTCATCATTGAGTGAGCATACGCTGTAATACCCATCAGGTATAGTAATGTATTTGTCAGGAGCATCTTCATCTAATATATGTATCCTATTATTAATTTTCGCAGCACTTATATTGGTCCACAGTGGGTAATACGTTACATCGCATAGAGCGACTTCGAGTTGTCCATCCGAGTTATCGATAGTACGAAGCAGTTGAATAGACTGACCATTTGTTATTCCCAGGAGTGTAACATACATATCAAATATACAATGATACTATATCATAACTTAAATATGGAATTAACCATTATTTTTAATATGGAGTGTTACACTTAAGTATCCTATATGTACAGGTTGATGTTTTACATCTAATACAGAAATTTTGAGGTCTGAAATAATACCCCGCTTCAATTTTTTATATTGTAATGTTGAGAAAGATTCCGTTCTACCACTATTATATTTTTCATCTTTAACTGGAACACATCTGAGTAGAGTTGAAGGACTTTCTTGTTGAATATTATCCGTTGTACTGATCTGATCAAGATGGATGCACAACTCTTTATAGGGAACTAAATCGGGTAATGCATATACAGTCACTGTTTTTTTAGGTGGTAATACTACTGACTGTCCAAATCCAAGTGTAATTGCTAAGTTCTCGTCAATAATTATACCTGTTTTTCCAGTGTATATTTTCACTGTCCCATTCGACTCATTTTGTGTGATACTTATTCCATTAGACTTAAAATTTTCATCATTGAGTGAGCATACGCTGTAATACCCATCAGGTATAATAATGAGTTTTTCACTACCCCTGTTTTCACCTGGTATAATCATCTTATTATTTCTTCTTGCAGCACTTATATTGGTCCACCGTTGGTAATACGTTACATCGCATAGAGCTACTTCGAGTTGTCCATCCGAGTTATCGATAGTATGAAGCAGTTCAATAGACTGACCATTTGTTATTCCAGGTAGTGTAACATACATATTAAATATACAATGATACTATATCATAACTTAAATATGAAATCGAGATACATTACTAATCAATCGATTATAGTAACTGCCTCTGGTGCTGAATTTTTCGTTAAATTCCCAGATATCTTTGAAAAGTACAGGGTCACGGCAACTAGCGATAAAATGGTGCACGATTGGTTTCACAATCCGATGCAATTTTGGCAGAATCAGTTAAACTTTGCCAAATGGTGTGCCACAACGGGATGTGGCGTATCTGTTAATGCTCCAGGATTTATGCTAAATAAGTCTGTTTTATTATTTCACGTGTATTATCAGATTAGACGTATACTTAAAGAAATTAATGCTCCATTACCGCAGGATCGAGCGTGGAATTCCACAAATAATAATTATGATAGGTCCGCGTATGAGCGTATTTGTAATGAATTTAATGTTTCTACGAGTAAAGATTGGCGCATTAAAGGAGCAAACCATGGTCTAGGTGTTCCGTACAGCGGACAAAGAACTGTTAAAGAAGTCAGCGATGATTTAGTTAAAAAAAACTCATCAACCATTCGATCCATTTAAATTCTTACAGAAAGACAATCTTTTTGTAAGATTGCATAATCTTAATCATGGCTGGGAACTTTCGAGTAACGATTGGAGAGGTTCCCTTATGAGTTTTAAGGGTGGTTTGGCTTATATTGTTACAAAATTTATACAAATGAACGATACCGCAAACGCTTGGAATGAATTTCTTAATGATAAAACAGAAAATAATTTTACTAACCCAGGAGTTGTAAGATTTAATGAATCGATAAGAACTTATGTATGGGCAATTCTCGGTGCACAATCGCAAACACGAAAATCCATTATCGGTACTGGGACGGCGCTCGATGCACAAAAACAGTTTGTCGCAAACGTGGAGGACGCCATTAATTCACCAGTTGACATACCATCGTCTATAAAGCGTTTTCAAGATGCATTACAGTACGCTCAATCCAAAGTGGACTTCGTTTATGCGCCGGGACTATACATGTCTCCGAGTAATATGGAACTTAAGATCGGTCAAGTGATAGGCTATAATAATAAAATTGTTATCGCTACCGATCAACAAAAACCAGGTATAAATTCAGATATTAACGTCGAATTAATAACGCAAACGATCACGGGCGAAAAGGGAATAGTCAAGCCGCAAACACCAACTATCGCTCAACCATCTACTAACGCACAAGTGCCACCGCATATTGAGGCTAAAAATCAACAACATATCGATGAAAAAACAGCGCTCGTAGTGGGTGGAGTCTCGGTTGGCTTACTCATGATTTGGTGGTTAAATAGTTCTTAGCGAATACGTACAACAGCCCTGCAATTGCTACGATCAACCCCAACAAGTTTTGACTAAGCCAAGTGGTGGTCTTAGCTAATAAATTCAATAGCCAGGAAACAACACTCCCTATTATACCGGGAAGTGCGACCGCGGCTTTCTCAGCGAGCTTTCCCAGTGCTG